GCCCACAGCATCGGCAGAGTCGGGGTTCGCTCTAGTTGGCTCGCAGCCCCTCCCCTCTGCTGCCTCCAATGAGGCCCAGAACCCTGACTTTGAACGTAATTTGAAGCAGCTCACATGGCTCCCGGGGAACGGGCCCCCAGAAGCCCAGGGGGGCCGAGCCCACCAGCGGGAACCCAGCCCCCAGTCAAGGGTAAGATTAGGTACTTTCCTTATATAATTCTTGGTATATATTTTTTTAATTTTTGTTTTAATTAAGAGAGGAAGAGAGAGCCCTGACCGGTGTGGCTCAGTGGATAGAGCGCCGGCCTGCGGACTGAAGGGTCCCGGGTTCGATTCCGGTCAAGGGCATGTACCTTGGCTGCGGGCACATCCCCAGTGTGGGGTGTGCAGGAGGCAGCTGATCGATGTTTCTCTCTCATCCATGTTTCTAACTCTCCCTCTCCCTTCCTCTCTGTAAAAAAATCAATGAAATATATTTTTTTTAAAAAAAGAGGAAGGGAGAGGGAGAGAGTGAAAGAGAAACATCCATGATGAGAGAGAATCACGGATCAGCCGCCTCCTGCACGCCCCACACTGGGGATGGAGCCCACAACCCAGGCCTGTGCCCTGACCGGGAATCGAACTGGGACCTCCTGGTTCACAGGTCGGCGCTCAGCCCCGGAGCCACACCGGCCAGGGCTGTTTTTAAATATTTTAATGTCAAGTGAGAGAAGGTGGGTCTGGGGGAGCCACCCTTGCCCAGCCCCGTGGCCGTGGGAATGGAAACCCAGCAGCTTGCTCCAGGCGAACGGGGCACTGGCCCGGCTGCGTGCGGCTCAGCAGAGCGCCCCTCTCCCAGACCCATGGTGTGGGGTGACCGGTGCCCAGGCCCCCAGAGGGTGCCGGCAGGGCCAGCCCTGGGGGCGCAGGCTGTTGGCGGGAAAGGCCTGCAGGGGACTGCCCAGGGGAGGAGACCGGACCCCAAGGCTGACCCAGGCCCGGAGCTGAAGGCCCAGGGGGCAGGCAGCTGCAGCCCCGGGGGACGTCCTGCTCAGTCCTGCTCTGATGAGCGTGTGACCCTGAGCAGTTTAGGGCGCCACATGGGGGGCCCTGCCGCCCTGTGCAGGCCCCCAGGGTGGGGAGACCCTCACAACAGGGACAGCTGTGGCCCCCACGACACCCAGCGTGCACACCTGTCGGGCTGCCATGTGGCTGTGGAGGGGGGAGTGGCCCCCAAATTCCCAGACAACCGGGGGTGGGGGGAGGGAGGAACGGGACTCCCTGCTTATCGGTCACCTGGGAAGCTGGAGGGAAGGCGCATGGCCCGAGTGGGTGACACGGATCACGTCGGGGCACTGAGCCCCAAGCCCGCCCTCCACCCGGCTCTGGGGTCTCCGCTTTGGGGTCCGCGATGTGGGGCCCGCAGGGCGGTCGCAGCACGTGCCCGAGCTCAGGTCAGGGATGAACCAAACCGCCCTTCTCCTGACGCTCACACGCACAGCTCAGCCGGGTGCCCACAGGGTGCCCGGGTGTCCACGCGCGGACACACACCGTGGGCCCCACCCCTCCCGGCAGCGGGAACCCATCCCGGCTCAGCCGCCCCGTCCGTCTGTCCGTCTGTCCAGACAGAAGCCTCGCCCGTCTGTTCTTCCGAAACCACTGGGGCTCTCGGTTCTCCTTCCTCAATTTCAATTCCTTTTTCTATTATTGTTCCCAATCTTCCGGGGCAGCGGTTCTCAGCCTTCCGGCCCTTTAAATGCATCTCCTCCTGTTGGGACCCAACCATAACATCATTCTCGTGGCTACGTCATCACTGTCATGTTGCCACTGTGATGAGTCGTCATGTAAATATCCGATCTGCAGGACGGTCTCAGGCGACCCCTGTGAAAGGGTCGTTCGACCGCCAAAGGGGCCGCGACCCCCAGGTTGAGAACCGCTGCCCTAGATGTTGGAACAGGAGCGACGCCCCAGATGTTCCTCTTACTTTCCCTTCTCCCCACGGGCGCCGGGGCCGCCCCGCCCTCCGCCCTCCGCCCTCCGCCCTCCGCCCTCCGCCGGGCTCGTCGCCGGAGCAGGAGCAGGACGGCTGGACCTGGTACCGTCCTCTGCGGGGTCCCCACAGGGCTGCTCGCTGCCCCCGGCCCAGCCCCGACCCCAGGGAACAGCCCCGGGAGGACCTGCACCCGCACAAACAGGGCTCGACTTGGCGTGGGAACGGGCAACCGGACTTTCCCCCAGCCAAGCGCACTCGCCTGCTGCCCCTGGAGCGCTGGGCGCAGGAGCCACGGGACGAACACAGGCTCTGCTTCACTGCGGGACCGCACGGCCAGGGCCCAGCTCCCCCGGAACCCGGGACCCACCTCCCCCGGAACCCGGGCCCCAGGGTCCCACCAGCAGACACAGAGGGACAGCCAGGGCCCCCCGCTCATCTCTGTCCCCCCGGCCTCAGTGGGAAGGGGAAGGCAGGGTGGCCATGGTCGTTGGCCAGGGACCAGCCCAGGGATTCATACAAATGCCACGGGTGTGTCGACGCTCCCCAACTATTCCACGCGTACATCTCGCCCGACTGTTAGCAAACGTGGAGCCGACAGCTTTACACACGGCGTCTGCACACGCGTGAACAGCGAGTGCTACTCAGACGGGCTGCAGCGCTAGTCACTACCCAGGGCGCCGCTTCAGCAACGATGGTCTGGAAAGTTCATTTTTTTTTTTCTTTTTTTTTAAAATATATTTTATTGATTTTTTTACAGAGAGGAAGGGAGAGAGAGAGCGCGCTAGAAACATCGATGAGAGAGAAACATCGATCAGCTGCCTCCTGCACACCCCCCACTGGGGATGTGCCCGCAACCAAGGTACATGCCCTTGACCGGAATCGAACCTGGGACCTTTCAGTCCACAGGCCGACGCTCTATCCACTGAGCCAAACCGGTTTCGGCTGGAAAGTTCACTTTTAAAAGAACTGCCCGTTGGTACAGATGTGAAAGCACGCCTGACCCGAAGGCAATGTCTGTGCACTGTCCGGGGTGGGGCAAAAGCAGGCTTACAGATGTGAGCAGTGGACATTTATTCTTATTTTCTAGAGGCCCAGCACGCGACATCGCGAGACCCAGACCCGCCGTGCCGGGGGGCTTGGGGGGGAGACGGGACCCAGAAACTCGCCGCACCGCCAGACCCATCAATGCCCCTCCTGGCGACCGGTCGTCTGGTCGTTCCGGCCACTGGCCTTTTATGATACAGATGGTACCGTTTTCCATACGAACGCTGTAAACCGTTTGCCCCACCCTGTGTAGCAAGGACACACGAAGAAGACCTCACTGTGAACAGCCCCGGGCCTTTCACCGAAGGGCAGCAGTAACGAGACGGAGGCGAGAAGCCAAGACTGTCGCAGCCTCGACGTCAGCAATGCACCTCCCTGGCCTTCAAGTCTGTTCCTTCCGTTTGACGGAGTCACCGGTTCAAGGAATAGGCTGAACCCTACGAATCTAGGTCCCGGGCCGTGAGGCAGCTGATGCAAAGGTCTCCGACTTGGCTGCGACTCACATGTGCTGGTGAGTTTAACGAAGACGAGAAGTGCAAACAGAAATAAGGACCTGGGTTTAAAAATATATTAGAACAAAATGGCTCAAAAAATGTTAACTACGTACGTTGACGGATGTTAGAGTTCCTGACCGTTTCACAGTCTGTTTTCAGTATCAGGTCACGCTGTGCACCTGACACTCGCATGTCAACACCTCACAAAATGGCCTTAGTATGAATCTCACTTCAACTTCTGGTGACACATTAGGACCAGTGCGGCCTGTATTTAGCTCCAGTTGCTCTGATGGTCGCATGAGTTACTCTGGAGTCACATTCGGAATTACCGTCAGCCCTGGGTGGTGGCTCGGCTGGCTGGGCGCTGTCCTGTGCACCCAAAGGTTGCCAGCCCCATCCCTGGTAGGGGGCGTGCAGAAGGCAGCTGGTGGGTGCGCTCACATCCATCAATCTCTCTCTCCCTCCCTCCCTCTAAAAAAAAAAAAATCAATTAAAAAAAAAAAGGATGACTAAATTAAAAGAACACTTCACAGATTTTATGTCCAGGAAGACACTGCCTTCTTCAGCATCCGCGGGGAAACCTATCCGTGTGGCTAGTGAACAATGAAAAACCCAGGATTTCAGGCACCGTGAGTGTGGGTAACACCTAACCCAGTGGTCGGCAAACTCATTCGTCAACAGAGCCAAATGTCAACAGCACGACGACTGAAATTTCTTTTGAGAGCCAAATTTTTTAAACGTAAACTCTCTAGGGAGGTGCATTGTTATTAACTTACTGAGGGTGCTCCTAAGCCGGCCTTTGCTAAAAACGTCCTCAATCTGATGGAGGTACGTTCGCTGAGGCCGACCCCTTCCACCTCTCCCATCCACACTCGTCTTGTAGACCTGTTTCAGAGAGACGAGTGTGGATGGGAGAGTTGGGAGGGGTCAGCCTCAGCGAACGTACCTCAAAACAATGTACCTCCCCCACGCTGCGGTGCGTATCTCGTGGCCCAACCGGCCAACACCCCCCACTTCTTCTAACGCCACTTCTCCAAAATACACTCGCCCAGGCCGAAAACCAACTTCTGCGCATGGGCCACGACGTTTCCATCGCACTGTACGTGCGCGCCCACACGTGGTATTTTGTGGAAGAGCCACACTCAAGAGGCCAAAGAGCCGCATGTGGCTCGCGAGCGGCGGTTTGCCGACCACGGCCCTAAACAATGATGGACAGCAAGCTGTCACTCAGGTGAAAATCCCTCAATGCTCAGAATTAGTGACGGTTTAGGAAAAACACAGCCACAGCCACGGGAACCTCTAACTTCTGAGCCGGAACTCGACAGAACGGGACAGCGAACCGCCAGAGCTGCTGCGGGGCAGGGGCAGGGGCCGGAGCCGCGCGTCTCGTCCCCGAGGCCAGGCAGGACCACCACCACCTGAGCCAGTCTCCACACGAGGGGAACACAGACAGGAAGGGTGTGTAACGCAGCCACACAAGCATGTCGCTCTTTGAAATTGAAAGAAAAATTTATTGAAGATCTGAAGAACAAGTCCTAAGACTGGCTGTTCCGGAAAACCGCGGCTACACAATGCGTGGCGTCTATCGTGGGCAAACGTGCATCAGACACAAACACAAAACCGGGAACAAGCCACCTCTTCAGCATCTGAGCAAAGACCGAGGCCCAGGGCACCGCGGGCGCGCCTTGCAGAGGAGACGCTCTCACTGTCAGCACCATAAAAACAAAGAGTACAAACGGACGGACTGGGGTTATGTACACGGGGCGAACCTTTGGCACTGGGGACAGCGTTTGCCATCGAGCAGAAACACGTGTTATAAAAGTGCGTAGTGTCAAAGGAGGAGGACCACCAGCATTAAAAGCAGCTTCGCCAACTAGGCACAGAAGACTACAGTCCGTCTCTCCGTGGTCTGTCGATACACTGGTAGCGACTTTCAAATGAAAAAGGAAAAAGAAAAGGAAAAAGGAGCTGGGACCCCTTTTATTTTCTCTGTTTAAAATCCAACAGAAAACAAACACCGGTTCAGTTATACACGGACATGGTCAAGGTCAGCATTTGTACAGGACGAGGGACGGGGGGACCCCGGGAGGCCTCACACGGCCTTGCGGTGGTACTCGGGCGGCGCCACCTCATAGTCGCTGGCGCTGAACAGCGTCGCCGAGTTCTTCGCCAGGTACCTGCGGACAAAAGTCACTCGTCACAAGGAAGGTCCTGGCCCAGATCACTTCTCCCTTATCACAGAACAAGCCGCACAAACACTTGTGAACATGTACCAGGACCATCACACCGCACAGGAACACCACAGAATTACAGCGCAAATAGTTAGATCCCAGGAAGAAAGAATAAAGTCCTGAATGACTCCCCTATTCCCAAGCGAGAAGTTACCTTCAGAAAACCCACTTGAGTTTGCACTGTTTCTTGTAAGAAACCCTTGGTGTTACCTCCCAAGAATAACTGGCGTTTTCTTAGCTCTTTGAGACGATTTAAAGCTATTTCCATTCCCAGGCTCACGTGGCAGCCTTCAATTCTTTTATTATAAAACAGACGGTGTTAAGAAAATTCAAACACAGAAACGTGTGAAGTAGCAATAGAAAACGTCACCCTTTCTTCCCAGGACCACACCAAGAAATAATCCACCGTCAGGTTGAACCAGACTTCCCCAGGTGTCTGTAAAGATTGAAAATGTTGCTCTACTCGGTGTGGCTCAGTGGACAGAGCGTCGGCCTGCGGACTGGAAGGTCCCGGTTTGATCCAGTCAAGGGCACAGGTCCGGCTGCAAGCTTGATCCCCAGTGGGGAGTGTGCGGAGGCAGCTGGTCCAGGATTCTCTCCCATCGTTGTTTCTATTTCTCTCTCCCTCTCCCCTCCTCTCTGAAATCAATACAAATCCGGAAGAAAAAAAAAAAAAAAAAAAAAAAGCCCTGACTGGTGTGACTCAGTGGATAGAGCCTCAGCCTGCGGACAGAAGGGTCCCGGGTTCGATTCCGGTCAAGGGCATGGACCTTGGTTGCGGGCACATCCCCAGTGGGAGGTGTGCGGGAGGCAGCTGATTCATGATTCTCTCTCATCACTGATGTTTCTCTCTCTCCCCTCCTCTCTGAAATCAATACAAATATAGTAAAAAAAAAAAAAAAAAAAGATTGAAGATGCTTCCCTACCAACGAGGGGTCACAGCGCCCTCTCCATCACAACCTGCTTGGAAATCTTTGTGCATCCAAGTATTTCTATCGGTGTTCCCAAAAGCCCAGCTTCCCAGTCCAAGAGGAAGCATGTGGAAAAACTGAACATGCCCTGCCAGGAGCCCCCAAACCCTGTAGAAAGAGACGTCTGCCCCCCAGGTCTTCAATCTCTACTCTTAGCGAACCTGACAAGAGCTATGCTGACTGTCGTCGTGCTGGACATTCGCTGTGCGCCCACGTCTGTGAATCCCCAGCGTGCCCTCATCACTGCTGTTCGTCGTTCCCTACTGCACACTCTTCTTTGTTCGCTCAGGGTACCAGGTCCTCTACGCTACGGAGCATCCCATCGCCCGTCACCTTCACGAGCAGAGTCCTATCACGTGGAATTCTCAGTATTTGTCGTCCAATTCATCAATCATTGCCTGTATTGTTTTTTGGAAAGGCCGTGCTCACTACAGAAATCATAAACATACTGCGCTACATGTTCCCCTTCGCTACCCTCACGGTTGAAGTTTCTGAGTCACCCAGTTTTCAGGCCTGACAGTGCGGATCTGAGCTCCGTCCCCTCCCAGCCCAGCGGCTGTTGCCGTCACCGCCACCGCCGCACGAATCTGTTCCATCACCATCTCTACTTCGGCGCCACCACCATCATCTTTACTTCCGCTTTATGGTTTAACACCGAGAGCCCGCCCACCATGGAGTCAGGTTCAGGGGCCTGCGCTCACCCTGGTTCTCACCTCGAGCGCCGCCCAGACTTACTTGAGGAAATCGTGCAGGTAATTCAGTAACAAAGCCAGGCTCTTCTCGTCCAGCGGCGTGTAGGCCAGCATGGCTCCGATGCGCACTGTTCAGACAAAGCAACTCCGTCAGTTACCTCCACGGGAGCGCTACGTGCTTATCCTAATTACGGCAGCAAATGCAACCATCGCCAACTCCTTTAAAATACGTAATTTTAGCCGAAACCGGTTTGGTTCAGTGGATAGAGCGTCAGTCTGCGGACTGAGAGGTCCCGGGTTCGATTCCGATCAAGGGCATGTACCTGGGTTGCGGGCACATCCCCGGTGGGGGATGTGCAAGAGGCAGCTGATCGGTGTTTCTCTCTCATCGATGTTTCTAACTCTCTCTCTCTCCCTTCCTCTCTGTGAAAAATCAATAAAATATATTTAAAAAAATAAAAAAATTAAAATAAAATAAAATACGTAATTTTAGAAACTTGACTTTTAAACTGATGGTAATTTTAGACAAAAGTTCAAATGGGAACGCAATGTTTTAGAACGTTATTTTGTGTTACTCCTTGATATCAATGAGGAAAGAAAAGAATATTCAAGGCCCAGATGGCGTGGCCCAGTGGTCGAGTGCTAACCCAGGACCCAGGTCACGGTTCCATTCCGTCAGGCCACATGCCCGGGTTGCGGGCTCAATCCCCAGGAGGGTTGTGCCGGAGGCAGCTGATCAATGATGTTTCTGATGGATGTTTCTCTCTATCCCTCTCCCTTCCCCTCTCTCTAAAATAAATAAATAAAGAAAGAAAGAACTTTTTTTTTTTTAAATTAAGGCTCAAGGGGAAGAAGTGGCATTTCGTTCCTAAAAGGCACATTACCGAACAGCCTCAGCAGATGCGGCGCCCCGTACACCTGGGACATGGGCGCGTCGGGGTGGTCCGCGAGGATCTCGGCGTACTGCGGCCGCTCGAACTTGTAGAGCAGCTGCGTGCCCAGCATGACATTGAAGTACTCCTTGATGCCGGCCACCACTTCGTTCACAGCGTACTCCCTGACAAACGGGCAAAGACAAGCTACATCCAAAACAGCCACTCGCTGTGAGTGCCGGGGAAGAAGGTAAGGGTTACATAATGAGATGAGGGCTAGGGTAAAATAGATGTACTCACAAATAAAAAGAGACGAAATCTTACTAAACAGATTTCTTTCTTTAAAAAGGATCTAGCAAGAGCACAGAAAAACAATTCCACAAATAAACCTCTCGGGCTAAAAGTGATTTTTGCCTAGAATTTTACTGTCTGCTCTGTAAGGAAAAGCCTGCAGCCAAACGCGTGTGCCCCTTTTGTTAGTGTTTGACGGTGTTTTGTAAAGTGGGCACGCATTTCATGTAACCGATTCGGAAATAAGACTGTCTGAAAGAAGACAGAGAACGCTCCTTGGACCCGGCTCAAACCGGAGCCCCTTCCTACTTGTTGTCCGTGTTCCCGCGGGATCTCTTGTAGTTCGCGTAGTCCTCCAGGACGGAATCCACGTTCTTCTTGGCAGGAAGATAGAAGAGCTGTGAGAACAGAAAGACACTCACATACCACACTGCCTTTTACAGGGAAGTCACAGTGGCCGAGCTTTAACGATAAAGAAAACCCTCAACAGTATCACAAAACAGGAAAAAGCATGTTCGTCCTGAAAACATGGCCGCTGTGGCCCAGGAAACTGGATTTTCCTGAACGTCGATTAACAGTCAAACGTGGCCGGCGGCTGCCATCGGACACACGTAACCACCGCACGGGGGACCCGCCCACGGAGGGGCTCACACGCTGCCCGTCACCGGCCGTCCGCGGACCGTGCGCCGTTCTTGCTCAGCCTCCGTCACCCTCGCTGAGGCAGGGCCTTTCCACTCCGGGTGGAACTAAAGCACAAACACCGGGAACCTGTGCCACCACCGATGGTCCACGGCAGAGCCAAGCTTCGGTCCTGGCGGTGTAGCCAGACCCACGTCAAGAACTGAATGCAGCCCACGCTATTCATGGCCCCGGCTCTGGTGGCACAGCACTCAGGCGTCCGTCCGTCGCCCCCCCGGACCCTCCCCCGCCGCCCCTGCCGTCTGTCACAGGACACGGCTCACGGTCCAAGCCTCATTCTAGAGCAGCTGTGGGTCCTACAGGCACCTCCTCACACGGCCCCCACTTCCTGTCCACTAGTCCCCAGACCCAGCAAGGGGACTGGTCTGGTTCTGGCCACGCACACCTGCAGGCGGTGCTGTGCGCTTCCTATGGCGTCTCATTAGGGGGCTCATGTGAGGACAGGAAACAGGCTTCTTTGTCTTTACCAGTTTTCAGAACAATTCCCACGCTAGCAGCTTCCAAAGTGAATCCTCCCCACCTTTCTGTATCATTCTAAACGCACTTTTATGTACTTGTTCTATTCACACACACTCTCTGAATGACAGCAATCACCAGTGACACCTTCCACGTTCTGGTCCATACACTTCTCCTTTACCAGCGGTTTTGTTTTCCAAACTAGAAACACCACACGCCCATTAATAACCAGAGGCGCTTTCACGTTACCTGCTTCTGGCGGGTAATTAAGTCCCAGTCATCAACCAGCCATGGTTTCAGCTCTTCAGGAATCTTTACTTTGACTTCAACTCTGTTCATGAATGTTTCCTCCTGAAAGGAAAAGGAAACGGTACTTCGAAACGTCCTCTCTGGCGTTTCTCCTCCACCTGGAGAGGCACTGGGTGTAAATCTTCCAGGACCCACAGAGGCCCCCTCACTGTCTTTTCAAAGTCAGAATGAAAAGACCATAAGCAGCTGCTGGGAGCCAGGAATCTTCTCCTGATAGAAAAGCAGTTGACTCGGTGCTAGTTCACGTGAAGGCAACAGTTCCTTAGCTAGTTCCCTCCTCTTCTGTACGATCACCCTTCCAGGGCTCATTTGTTGAGCTTTTAGTGTTTCTGTATTTGTTGATATTCAATGACCATCCCAAACACAACAAACGAGAAGTTACAACATAAAGTTAAGTGTCCTGACGGCCAGTGACATCTTCAATGTCTCCTCAGGTGCCTGACTTCCAGAGCACACCCTGTCTGAGCACATCACTGCCATGTAACCTCAGCGTCAGACACGCAAACTGTGTCAGTTACAAGTAACATCCCCGCTGCCCGTCCGATGTGACTCCACAGGGGAACTGACCCTTGAACCAGGTCGTGGTTTGGTCCCCGGTCAGGGCACGTGCCCAGCTGTGGGCTCGAGCCCCACTGGGGGGCGAGCAGGAGGCAGCCAAGTGATGATACTCTCATCGTTCATGTTTCTGTTTCTCTCTCTTTCTCCCCCGCCCCCCTTCTTCTCTGCAAAATATTAAAAAATACAGGCACCAAGGAAGCATAACAAAATGCGGAGACAAAGAAACAGGACAAAATTGTCAATGGAAGATATAGAGTTCAGAACCACACTTTTAAGGTCTCTCAAGAACTATTTAGAAGCCGCCGATAAACTTAATGAGATCTACAAGAAAACTAATAAGACCCTCGATCTTATATTGGGGAACCAACTAGAAATTAAGCATACACGGACTGAAATAACGAATATTATACAGACTCCCGACAGCAGACCAGAGGAGCGCAAGAATCAAGTCAATGATTTGAAATGCGAGGAAGCAAAAAACACCCAACTGGAAAAGCAAAATGAAAAAAGAATCCAAAAATGCGAGGATAGTGTAAGGAGCCTCTGGGACAGCTTCAAGCGTACCAACATCAGAATTATAGGGGTGCCAGAAGATGAGAGAGAGCAAGATATTGAAAACCTATTTGAAGAAATAATGACAGAAAACTTCCCCCACCTGGTGAAAGAAATGGACTTACAGGTCCAAGAAGCGCGGAGAACCCCAAACAAAAGGAATCCAAAGAGGACCACACCAAGACACATCATAATTAAAATGCCAAGAGCAAAAGATAAAGAGAGAATCTTAAAAACAGCAAGAGAAAGAAACTCAGTTACCTACAAGGGAATACCCATACGACTGTCAGCTGATTTCTCAACAGAAACTTTGCAGGCCAGGAGGGAATGGCAAGAAATATTCATAGTGATGAACACCAAGAACCTACAACCAAGATTACTTTATCCAGCAAAGCTATCATTCAGAACTGAAGGTCAGATAAAGAGCTTCACAGATAAGGAAAAGCTAAAGGAGTTCATCACCACCAAACCAGGATTATATGAAATGCTGAAAGGTATCCTTTAAGAAGAGGAAGAGGAAGAAAAAGGTAAAGATACAAATTATGAACAACAAATATGCATCTATCAACAAGTGAATCTAAGAATCAAGTGAATAAATAATCTGATGAACAGAATGAACTGTTGATTATAATAGAATCAGGGACATAGAAAGGGAATGGACTGACTATTCCTGGGGGGGGAAGGGGTGTGGGAGATGCGGGAAGAGACTGGACAAAAATCGTGCACCTATGGATGAGGACAGTGGGTGGGGAGTGAGGGCGGAGGGTGGGGCGGGAACTGGGAGGAGGGGAGTTATGGGGGGAAAAAAAAGAGGAACAAATGTAATCTGAACAATAAAGATTTAATTAAAAAAAAAATACTAACCTTGCTTTCAGGGTTATAATTTAAAATTTGGGAAGTTATCCCATATAATAAAAGACTAATATGCAAATCACCCAAACAGTGGAACGACCAGTCACTATAACACGCACTGACCACCAGGGGGCAGATGATCAACACAGGAGCTGCCGCTGGTAGTCAGTGCGCTCGCACGGGGGAGCGCTGCTCAGCCAGAAGCTGGGCTCAGGGTAGGTAGACATCCCCCAGGGGTCCCGGACTGCAAAAGGGCGCAGGCCAGGCTGAGGGACACTCCCCCCACCACCACCACCAGTGCATGAATGTCGTGCACTGGGCCTCTAGTAAATACAATAAATTGGAAATAAGACTTTTTATCACTTAACAACTCAAAGCTAGCCTTAGCTGGTTTGGCTCAGTGGACAGAGTGTTGGCCTGTGGACTGAAGGGTCCCAGATTCAATTCCGGTCAAGGGCATACACCGATCCCCAGTGTGGGGGCGTGTAGGTGGCAGCCGATCAATGATTCTCTCTCATCACTGATGTTTCTCACTCTCTCTCCCTCTTCTTTCCTCTCTGAAATCAATAAAAATATATTTTAAAAAATTCAAAGCTATTACACACACACACACACACACACACACACACACACTTACTAGTTTTCTTGGTTTATGGAGTCATCTTGTCACACACTAAGCCATTTAGTGTGACCTAATCAATCTATACTGCAGGTTCTCAATGTCATTAATGAGTTCTCTGACTCTGAGCAAAACGACGTAAAATAAAACCAGCTGCACCACAGGCAAATGGATATAAACAAGAGTTAAGTACTAGCCGGTTTGGCTCAGCAGATAGAGCGTCGGTCTGCAGACTGAAGGGTCCCGGGTTTGGGTTCAATTCCGGTCAAGGGCACATGCCAGGTTTCGGGCTTGGTCTCCAGTAGGGGGCGTGCAGGAGGCAGCCAATCAATGATTCTCTCTCATCATGGATGTTTCTCTTTCTCCACCTCTCCCTTCCTCTCTGACATCAAATATATATAAAAAGAGCTCAGTTCCTACAGCATCTCCGCAGTGCTGCCCAAGGTGACGTTATTGGACACCTGATGCACCGTCGACACCACAGAAACGTCAATCTTGTGCAGAAACACAAACTCCTCAACGTCGGATAAGCTGGGGGAGGGGATCTAACAAAGACACACCCAGAATTACAAGTAAAAACACACACACAAACCCGGTCTCCCAACAAGAGGAGGGTTTTCCTTCCAGCAGTGAACCCGTTAGCAGCTCCGAGACTGGGTCCTGGCCACCTGACTGCGCTGGCACAGGAGCGGAGACCAGCCACGCTGACCTGCTGCTGCTGAGAGGGAGGGAAACTCACGTTTTCCACAGTCGGGTCCACTCGCGCTCTCTTCTTGCGAGGAGGCTGAGGGGTCTCGCTGGTGCTGCCGCCGTCTCCATTCCCAGGTGCTAGAAACGCGGGGGTGAGAGATGGGTAAGTGATTAAATGACACATTCATAAGAAAGTCTCTCAGAACACACCTTCCTTTTCATTTTCCCATGACACAGTGTTACCTGAATCTGTTAAAGAATCCCATTCCCGCCCTGACCGGTGTGGCTCAGTGGACAGAGCGTCGGCCTGCGGACTGAAGGGTCCCAGGTTCCATTCCGGTCAAGGGCATGTACCTTGGCTGGGGGCACATCCCCAGTGGGGGGTGTGCAGGAGGCAGCTGATCGATGTTTCTCTCCCATCGATGTTTCTAACTCTCTCTCTCCCTCTCCCTTCCTCTCTGTAAAAAAAATCAATAAAATATATATTTAAAAAAAAAAATCACATCCCGACCACAAATGTGACCTCTGTGAACATCTACAATGTTGCCTCGGCAGGGTCTCTTCAGGGTCAGTCACTGAGAAGGAAGATGACGGAAGTAAGTGCTCTCAGGCTGCTCCATGGTAAACGAGCGTCAGGCCACTGGTGCTAGTGTGTCCCTACGGCGCCGGTACTCACACCTGAGGCATCAGAGGCCTGAGCTACTCTAGGAAAAGCTCTCGCCGGTCGCTGTGGCTGAGCACCGACCTTTGAACCGGGACTGATGTTTCTCTCTCTCCCGCCCCCTCCTTTTCTGAAATCAATAAAAAACTAAAATAATAAATAAGGAAATAAAAATAAATGTTAAAAAAAACTTCCTACCTTAAATTTAAATCAATTTAAAATTCAGTATTGTAAAAGTAAAATAATGTTAACAAAATATGCTTACTTTTCTGTTTGTTCTTTTTTGTTTTCCTGAAAAGAAAAGGGAGAAAGATAAATAATTGTTGCCAGTAAGACTGCCTCTGTGCCAACCCCTTTTTATCAGGAATACATTCCTAGGGAAATACGGCCTCGAATGATAAAATCAGGCAGGAATAGTTCCTGCTCAGACACAGGACTCTTATTGGTGGCTGGTTAAATCCACCTCTCCCTCCATATCGGTTTCTCAGTCTCCACCCCCCCGCCCCTTCTGCTCTAAAAGTCCATGGAAAAGAATATTCTCAGGTGAGAATTTTAAAAAGTTACCATATTCCAGCTTCTATGACCCACAAGCCCTAGTGCCGGGTAACGGCGCCGACAGGACGCTCACGGACAGAGCCGTGCGCACAGGGACAGAGGGAGCCTTGCTTACACTTCCACGCTCTTCTGCTGCAGGCCCGCCGTCTTCTTTCCTGGGGCCGCCCCTCTCATCTTCCCCTCCGCATACTGCTCCCTGCAAAAACAAGTGCAATACAGTCGTCATAACGGGAGTCCTTAGGTGGAAAAGTAAACTGTGACAGCTTGATTCCATCTTGAAGTTTATATTCAAACTAGAGGGCCGGTGCACAAAGATTCGTGCAAGAATAGGCCTTCCTTCCCCTGGCTGCTGGCACCGGTTTCCCTCCGGCACCCGGGACCCGGGCCTTCTCTCTGGCCGCCACCTCCCACCTTCACCTCCATCTTTGTTGCATTAATTTGCATATTCCCTCTTTATTGGCTGTTGGTGCTGCCATCTTTGTCAGAGTGATGGTCAATTTGCATATTCCCGCTTTATTAGATGGGATGGCAGTCCCTGGTCTATACAGACATGTTCTGATAGTTTCTCACAAGTTGGACAGATGATATATTTACAGAAAGGAAATCACTCAAGAAGACTAAAAGGCCTAAGAACTTGCTCTCTGTATCTACCAGAATTAAAGTAAAAATGTAGTAGAAGGTGATTATAATAGATTGTAACACATAATTGAAAATTCCATTTGTTTTGGAATTCACTAATCCCAATGCTTTATTTGATCACTTTTATTTCAATTTTGACACACATTTCAGCTTTGAAATGAAGAGAAAACAATGACCCTACAGACCTCCCAGTCTCCTGGGTTCCTTTTCCCAGTGTGCTCCTACCGCTGCAGGAGAGCGGGGCGCCCCTCTCCTTAAGTGCACCTTCCTGAGCCCACAAGCGCAGGTGACCGTGAGCTTGCCAACCACAGGAATTCCCAGTCACATCCTGCTTCCCACCTGCCTCTAAGGACGGACTCGGGAACTCACAGCCGTGCTCCGTTTTCCCAGGAGAGGCTTCTCAGCTGCGTGCGGTCACAGCCGTCACACAGCACCTGACAAGCGCCAGGAGCCGTCTCAGAGCCAGGCCGCCAGCGTGGATTCTACTGTTCACTCCGTTTCCAGAAATTAACCCAAAGGCCCCTCTCCTCAGACTCGTGCTGCGACCAGACTTACTGATTAGCCTTCTGGAGCTCCCGCTGCTTCTGCAGGTTGGTGTCCACGTACTTGAGCACTCTGCTCTCTGGGACCCACTCATCCCAACTGCAAACGAGAGAAGGGAAACGTCATTCAAAAGCATTTTCACCTTCACTCAGGCTCTGTCCTCCAATTACTTTTTAGAAATGTACAAGACAAGACTAGGACTAAAGCGAAAATTTCTCTTCTGTAAAGAAGTAAACTTCCTATTCTCAAAAGCAGCGTTCCACCTCTGACCTGCCAGAGTTTGCCCTGGCTGGTGTGGCTCAGTGGATAGAGCATTGATTGCCCTGCAGACCGAAGGGTCCCGGGTTCGATTCCACTCAAGGGCACATTCCCTGGGTTGCAGGCTCGATCCCCAGTGGGGGGCGTGCAGGAGGCAGCCATCAATGATTCTTTCTCATCATTGATGTTTCTACCTCTCTCTCTCCCTCTCCCTTCCTCCATGAAATCAATAAAAATATATTTTAAAAAAATAATAAACTGCCAGAGTTCAAAACCAAATTATTCAAATCATTTTTTCAAAACAGCATATGAGTCTGGCATGTAACGGAGTCTGGCCTGTGAGAGTGTGGAGCGCGCCCGGGCCTCACAGCACGTCTGACGCGGAGGCAGACACAGAGGAATCCCGGTCACCAGGTGGCATGTCCCTAAACAATTGTCTTTACAGAATGGAGATCCCTTCACAAAGTGTACTTTCAAAAAAGGGGCCCAGGAGACCACCAGCGGGCTTTTTAAAGAACTAAAACTAAGCGGCCCCTCGGCTGTAACAGCGAAGTCACAGAACTCTGTGCCTCAGTTCTGTCGCCTTTAAATGGCGACAACAGTGCCCACGCCACCGCAGGCCCAGCGCCTGGGAGTTTCACACAAAATAAACACTCGCGCTTCAGGAACATACAGGACTCAGGACCACGTCCACCGGCTGGGCTCACACTGGAAATCAAAGCATCACAGATAATGGTCATCAGACGACACCTCTTGCACCTTCACTCGCAAAGGAATACTGACTTCCAAGGCACAGCTGAGAAGATGTCTTTCTAAACATCCAAAGGTAGAACCGCCCCCTCTGCTGAAACAGCTGACTGCTAAGGCGTTCTGGCCGTTAGAAAAAAGCTCCTTCAAAATAGGATTCCTGCCCTGGCCGGTGGGCTCAGTGGTTAGAGCGTTATTCCACGCACCAAAGGGCCGCGGGTCAATCCCTGGTCTGGGTGTGTGCGTGAGGCAACGAACAGATGTCTTCCCCCCCGCCCCCCCCCCTTCTTCTCTCTCTTGAATCAATGAAAAACATATCCTCAGGTGTTTAAGATGGTTAAAAAAACAACAACAAAAAAACCCATGATTTCTGACCCGACCGGGAATAGCACAGGGAGGTCACAGTGAGGCTCACGCACTGAGCCACCCCGGCCGGGCCTGCCAGGTTCTGTCCGCGGGGAAATGAGGCCGGCTCCTCCCTAGGGGGCGCCATCGCGTGCCGAGGGCCTCTTTCCTCCTCCGAGGGAGCGCCTTCGCGGCACGGGGACGTGCCCGCCGGGCTTCCCGTCAGTGCCTTCCCCCCCTGACCTCTGAGGACGATGGCCGGAAGGAGAATAAATCAAACAACCCTCCACATGATTCCTAGAAGAAACGGTAAAACATGCATTTACCTAGAGGTCAGGAGGGGGTGGCGGACTGAGGGAGCTCCTTCAGGAACAGGAAAAGGGGCTACAATATCCTCCCGTGTCCTCCAAGTGTGGTCAGAGCGCCTGGGCCTCCCGGCTCCTCTGATGCAGAAGCACAGCAGAGTCTCAGTCACCAGCGCACAACGAGCGACGCCCACGATTCAGGTACGACTGTAACTCACTCCGCCGTCTGGGCCAACGCGCTCCAACGGGCTTTGGCAATTCACAAAGACCTTACCTCCTGAGCCTTTAAAGACCGCGTACAGATTTACGGAAGTTTAAGCAAATTCCAATTCGGGGATTGAGCCTGAGTTGTAAGATAGCCTACAAACCACTTTGGAAATGAGGATTTTACTTACGTATCTACGTATCGCTATTCTAATTCTCTCCCAAAGGGACTGGCTGACTTACTTACCGCAAAGTTCATTCAGAACCTTGCAAACCCCTTCCCCCCGACAAAGAAACACGTTGAAGGAGCACCTTGGGCCTGGCCAGGGAGCTCTGCTGCCTTAGAGCCTCCCCGATACCCCACGGTCCGGGTTCGATCCCGGGTCAGGGCACATACAAGAGTCAACCAGTGAATGCACCAATAAGGGGAACCACAAATCAATGTTTCTCTTTTTCTCTCTCCCCTCCCTAAAAGTTAACCATTTTTTTAATTTAAAAAAAAAAAAAGGGACTTTGATCTAAAGAACACAATCATCTCTGAGCTTCTTTGTCTGCCAGGAGCTGGACCCCCTCGCTGAGCCCCAGGGAAACGAGAGGACGTGTTTTGCTCTGAGGAGCATCCATCGCTCGTTACTAAGGCTGTAGCTAAAGGGCAAGTAAATACTCAGGAACTGTGTGTGCAGGTAAGTCAAGAGGCTGAAGGAGGTTCCTACAGGCAGCCCGGGGGAACCCACAGCCACGGGGAGGCTGGCCCTGCGCACGCAGCACCAGCGACCCGACGCCGGGCCCGGAACAGCCCCCTAAGATGGGCTTCCTCCAGGCTTCCCCAAACACTAAGGATGGTCACTTTCAAACTTACATCTATTTACCTACAAACCAAATCAAACACAGAACACACCTTGATATGTTAACATTCCTCAGAATATCTACAAAGGTATTAATAAAGATCTCTAATATTTATTGCCATTTTTCTTCTCTTTCAAAGGAACCAATTCATATTTGATATAAAATTAGCTGAAAACTAGACTATAACATTACAAAGGAAAAAGTGTTCTTAATATATTTTGAAGCAGTGAAATGAGAAACTCTAAGAATTTGGTATTTTCACAATTTCTTAAACTATAAACACCACTTAAAACCCATCTTTAAGCTGTACACATCTACACATAATTTTATGCAAAATATCTCTTACACACGAAAGAGTTAGGCTCAAAGCTATGTCCACCGCTCATGGTCCTGGGTTACTATTACCTGACTATCACTGTTAGAACTATTCCCATTATCACTAACTGGGGGGGTTCCTAAGTTGTCAGAATGTGCTTCTAGATTCCCGCCGTTCTACAATTACACTCACAGAAGGAGATAAGGGTCTGTTGTTTGTTTTGCTGTGTTTTCTCTTTTTAGCTAAAAGCATTTGTGGAGCCCTGGCCGGTGTGGTTCTCTGGATAGAGCATCGGCCTGCGGACTGAAGGGTCCTGGGTTCGATTCTGGTCAAGGGCACGTGCCTGGATTGTGGGCTTGATCCCCAGGAGGGGGCGTGCAAGAGGCAGCCAATCAATGATTCTCTTTCATCATTGATGTTTCTCTCTCTCTCCCCCTCTCCCTTCCTCTCTAAAATCAGTAAAGATCTATTTAAAGATAAATAAATAAATAAATGAAAGCATTTGTGGAAAACGTTTCTAACTGATCTAACTCCTGGGCTGGTCACTGGGGAGGGAACTGTGGGAACAAGACCACAGAGCGAGCCTCCCCCCAGCCAGAGCCCCGGCCAGTCAGGGCAGTGCCACGGGGAGACCCGGGTACCACACGCGGCTCAGGCACACGAAGCAGGAGTAGCTGCTACAGAGCCACTCCGGGAGACCTGCACTTCCTGGCAGCGCCACCTTGGAGGATAGAACGCCCTGTCTAACTGAAGTAACTGACGACCTCTCACAGCAAAAGCCACCAGCACCACCAGGAGTAAATCCTGAGACGTGGCGTCTGTGGCCCCAGGTGAAGGGCTGGCCGAGAGACACTCGCTGGATATTCTAGAACGGGTTCAATCTATGCACCGTCCGCTCCCAGGAACACACCAACACACCACAGCTTAACAAGATGCTCTCGCCCTGGCCCGTGTGGCTCAGTGGATACAGATTCAGCCCCTGGACTGAAGGGTCGAGGGTTCGATTCCAGTCAAGGGCACATGCCCAGGCTGCTGGCTCGATCCCCAGGAGGGGGCGTGCAGGAGGCAACGGATCAACAATTCTCTCTCATCATTGAGGTTTCTATCTCTCTCCCTTCCTCTCTGAAATCAATAAAAATATCTTTAAAAAAAAAAACTAACTTTTCAAGGTGGAAAGTGAAGTCCTGTAATTAAATTCCTGTGTCTGTATTAGACCATGTGGTAAAAATACATGAAATCACATTCTGTCAACCTAAGTTGGTCATTACTTCGAGATCAGACAACCTTTATCCTTTTCCCTTTTCTAGGTAGAAAAATCCAACTCACTTTGACTATAACTGCTGGACATAACATACATGGTGACTGAGTTTGTGCTAAAGGCAAAATATATATATATATATATATCAAACTATCCTAAAATATTCCAAAATGTGAGGGGGGAATTATGGGGGAGGGGAGGGTTGTAGGGTGGAGGGATTGAGCAAAAAAAAAAAAAAAGAGAGAAACTCATGGACAAGTGTGGTGACTGGGGGGGTCAGAGGTGGAAGAGGGCAGAGTGGGTAGACGGTAATGGGGACAAAGTAAATAAATATAAAATAACGTGGACAAACCCCAAAAAGGGTGGCTGGTTGACCAATGATTATCAGACATGACACTAGAACCAAGAATTACTCCAAAAAATTTAAAATAAAATGGCTGCACCCTAATTTCTATTGTATTTCCCTCACACTCAAATGGCTCACCCTTGCTGCAATATGTCACGTTAAAACTACACACTCAAGAAGCATGTTTGTACCAGTCTATGATACACGTTACTTTGAAAATTATAAACAGAAGATTGCTTTTAAAGATCTAATACTCACTTTTTATTCCAACCACTGTAATGTATGAAGTATTTCACTTGTTTGTCCTTTATGGCAACCTTTACGCACTGAAATAAAAGAGGAAAAATGTCACTTAGAGATACTAAAGAAGAGATGGTTTTAAAGTAGCCAATCTTTCAAAGATTCTTTCTACACTTAAACTCTTAGGTGGCCAAAATGAAGCCCCCCAAAATGTGACTCTCTAAAACAGCGGTTCTCAACCTGGGGGTCGCGACCCCTTTGGAGTCGAAGGACCCTTTCACAGGGGTCGCCTCTAAGACCATCAGAAAACACATATATCATTACAGATTGTTTCTGTGATGAATCACTATGCTTTCATTATGTTCAATGTGTAACAATGAAAATCCATCCTGCATATCAGGTATTTACATGACGATTCATCACAGTAGCAACATGACAGCGATGAAGTAGCAACGAAAATAATGTTATGGCTGAGGGTCCCCACAGCATGAGGAGCCGCATTAAAGGGCCGCGGCGTTAGGACGGTTGAGAACCGCTGCTCTAAAGAACATTGTTTAAAGTTTATAAGTATTAAGAATTCTGGCCGAAACCGGTTTGGCTCAGTGGATAGAGCGTCGGCCTGCGGACTGAAGGGTCCCAGGTTCGATTCCGGTCAAGGGCATGTACCTGGGTTGCGGGCATATCCCCAGTAGGAGATGTGCAGGAGGCAGCTGATCGATGTTTCTCTCTCATCGATGTTTCTAACTCTCTATCTCTCTCTCCCTTCCACTCTGTAAAAAATCAATAAAATATATATTTAAAAAAAAAAAAAAAGAATTCTGAAATTGCCGAAAGGTGACAAGTTGCGGGAGTCAGTCTAACAAAGCCAAGGACCATGAGCATAAGGGGCCCCCAACCCTGAATGCAAGGGGCCGGACAAGCTCCCCAACAGCAACTAGTGCCGGTTACTGTTTACTTCCTCAAAGTCTAAATAGCCAGAAACTGTAATTCCAAAAACAAGTTCAGCTAAAGAAAAACATTGACGACGTGTGAAAGTTGGACGAGCTTATGAAAAGGCGGTAAAATGTTTGGGTGCAGAATACAGCAACTAGCAAAGTGATGAAGTAAAAATGTTTGCTGTTCTTAAAAGCAGCCAACAAATCAGAATGGACACAGGAGGCTGTCAACTATGACAAGTGAGAAATATCTGCGTGTAGACTTATTGTTTACATTTTTTAATTGATTTCAGAGAGGAAGGGAGAGGAGAGAAACATCCATGATGAGAGAGAACCATGGATGGGCTGCCTCCTGCACACCCTTCACCAGGGATGGAGCCCGCGACGCAGGCACGTGCCCCGACCGGGAATCAAACCATGACCTCCTGGTTCATAGACTGACATCAACCACTGAGCCCCTCCAGGGGGCCTGGTTTTTAACTTAAAACTCTTGACAAAGAGGAACACAAACATGTGAACCGCTCCCTGCCATGACCGGTGTGGCTCAGTTGGCGGGAGCACAGGCCTGGGTTGTGGGCTCCATCCCCAGTAGGGGGCATGCAGGAGGCAGCAGCTGATCGATGTTTCTCTCTACCCTTCTCCTTTCCTCTCTCAGAAACACTCAATGAAAGCATTAAACATATACAGCTTGCTGTTTTGTATATCGTGGTGCATTTTCTTAAAAAACAAAACAAAACAACTGTTAAAAATAGTCACATCCTAATACTTGTCCTAAAGAAGTTAACAGGAAGAAAACACTAGAAATACTTTTGATTTTGGAATGCATTATTCCATTCACCTTTGGCTAAATGTAAAATCAGTTTTTATAATCTCAGCACACACAGGTGGAGGAAAGGGAGCCCCCTCAGGGTTCAAACAACAAATAAAAGTTAAATGGACTCATTTTTAACCCTTTTCGGTCCAACCTCGAGGCCGACTCGACAGACCAGGCGCTAGGAGCAGGTCCAACGTTGAGCTATAAGAACATTAAAAGTTCAACATTCAATCCCGTCAATTAATTTGGACCAGACTGTTTGAATTCCAAGAATAACATTGGACCGCAAAGGGTTAATGTTAGCTTTTACCTTTAACATACTTTAACTAGCTCAGTGCATACGTAGCATTCTGCAATTGCATATAAAATTGACCTTGGGGGGAAAAATAATAAAATAAAAATAAAATTGACCTTGAACCCTAGGCGGTTTGGCTCAGTGGATAGACCACGTGCCTGCGAACTGAAGGGTCCCGGGATCACTCTGGTCAAGGGCACCGGCCTCGGTTGCAGGCTGGATCCCTGGCCCTGGGAGGCAACCAATCGATGTGTCTCTCTCACACCGATGTTTCCTCTCTCCCCCTCCTTTCCACTCTCCCTAAAAAATCAATGGAAAATATCCTCAGATGAGGATTTAAAAATAAAATTGATCTTGGTAGTGTTTTCTCACAAGCCAGTCATTGATTACAAATGCTATCGCTCCCATCAATAACCATCTTCTCTCTCAAATGCGCCTTCCAACTCCTGGATGCACGAGCAGGACAGCAATGATTGATCTGATCCGCTAACACTAAGCAAGCGGGAAACACCCCGTCAGAGAAGGTGGGAACTCCTCACCCCGACGGGAAAGGGAACTCACACGGTCAGACCTAACCAGTAGTTTCTGGTGACTTCTGAAAGGAAAACGGGCTTCCTACCTTTGCTTCATAAAGAAGAGGCCCGTGAAAGCACAGCACGCGCTCACCTGGGGGAGGAAGAGAGCAGTGGGTTAGCGGTCATTTCTCCTGTCTCACCCGAGAGGCCGCACACCTGTGCTTGGGATTTCCTCACAAAACCAGGGAAGTGGGAGCGGCTATGCATGGATCACCACTTCCGATCAAACGTCAATATTTCCCATTTTAACTATCTTCATACAGTAAGAGTCCTACAACAGAACACCTTAGTATCTGCTGCAAACAACAAAAACCACGTAACAGAATGTCCATCTACTTAAATCAGCAACCCGCCTAGCACCTGGCTAAAGGGTACAGGTAAGGTCTAGAGCTACTAAATAAAACCTCTGCCTACCGTTGGAAGGGTTGGTTTTGCCTTTCAGTGTCTAAGATGTATCCCAACCAAATGCTCTATCTATGGCTCCGCTTCCAAACTTTTTATTAATTAAAATCAGTAAAATAATCTACGCATGAAAATTGCCATGTGCATCGGAAATGGCTGGGGTTTGTTTTTAAAGAGGTTCATGTCCACGACGTGTGTTCATCCATGTTCTGGGCACTGGGCTGCTGCAATGAACCCAGAATACAGGCCTGGAAGCCAGCCTGCAGCCGGGCCGACCCATCAGGCAGGCGTTCCCGGCAGCACATCACGTTATTGTAGCAGAAACATTTCTCCACGTGGTCAGCAGGCCCACAGGTGACAAGAGTAGTCCCACACTCAGCTCCTTTAAGTCTAAAATTAAATTGAAAGAGCCTGCCGGCTCCATTCCGAAGAGACTATAGAAGTTTCGCCATTGAAACATGTTACTGCTGCTTTTAAGTTTTCAAAACTTACACCTTAAAAACCTTCCACCTGAAACATCACCCAGCAAACCTGAATATCCATTTCCCACGTGTGGACCCAGCGCCTGCCCTGCAGCTGCCTGTATGAGCACGTCAGACTGACGGGAGCACTGATATGTGAGCAGACAGTTCACACAACGCCCTGATTTCACGTTAACTATCTTCATAAACACGAGAGTGGCTGAGGAGCTGCTGGAAAGGTCACAGGGAAAGGTCCCGTGGAGGGAAACAGCTGGTCAAACGCAGAGAAACATGCTGAGGGACATTCCTGTTTAACGTAAACGTGTGCCATCACCAGAGCACAGGACACACCTCTCTGTTACAGAGAAGCCTAAGCCACCATCCGGCCATTGGGCCGTTACCCAGGATGTGCACGGACCACCACCAGGGGGCAGACACTCAACGCACAGACATGGAAACACGGAACCACGGAACAGACTGAGGAATGTGTAGACTAGAGCGGGAGTTCTCAGTCGCGACCCCTTTGGAGTCGAACGACCCTTTCACAGGGGTCGCCTCAGACCATCGGAAAGCACATCTATCATTACATATTGTTTTTGTGGTTAATCACTGTGCTTTCATGATGTTCAATGTGTAACCGTGAAAATCCATCCTGCAGATCAGGTATTTACATGACGATTCATCACAGCAGCCACATGACAGCGATGAAGCAGCCACGAAGATAATGTTATGGTTGGGGGTCCCCACAGCACCAGGAGCCACATTAAAGGGCCGCGGCGTTCGGAAGGCTGAGCACCGCTGGACCAGAGGAATGGTGCGTGCGTGCGTGCACGGGCGGGCCCTCCGCCTGGCCTGCTGTAACTCTCGCCATGCGGCTCCTGTGAGTGGTCCCCTGAGGACACTGCCGGGGCTGCGGGGCCCTCAGAGGTGAAGCGGAGACTGGAGCAGGGAGCGTCACAGCTGGGGAAGCCGAATGGGCCTGAACATGACCCAGTGGGAGGTCAGGACAGCGAAGCGAGCCCCGAGTGCAGGACGGCCAGGCTGCTGGGGGGGGGGGGGGGGTTCAGATCCATCTGGGAGGATGTCAGGGTCAGCACACCCAAAGCGGAGCCATCCAGTCGGCAGCCGAGTGCCCGTCTGGGGCTGAGGAGAGACCTGGGCCAGGAGCCCGGGGTACGGGGAGGCACAGAGCTCAGCAGCACCGAAGACCTGGCCTGTGTCTCAATTTCCCTCCAGGGAAACTTTACTGAAGTTTAAAGGGACCTAAAATGGCCTCCCCCCGCCCCCCCCCCCTCCTTTGGCTCCTGCGGCCCAAGACAGCAGCACTGAAGCTCAAGCCCTCTGCCCTCTATTCTAGCTGCTCGGCCCTAAAAGTTTGTCAAAAACAAACAGAAGCCGGCCGAGGAGCACGACCCCGGCTAACAAACGCCTCATTTCCACGGAAGTGGAGGGAAAGCCTGCCGATCGGAGAAAGAGCAGCCCCTGTGTCAGGTGTTCCTTACAAGCCTTTCTCCACGCGAATCCCCTCTGATATCGAACTACAGTCATTCTGCCCGATGCCCCCGATGCCAGCCCCGCTCCCTCTAGGAACACACCCAGGCCCGCGTCAGCCTGGCCAGGCCCGGAGCCCTCCCCCTGGGAACGGCCCGCCTTCTTCACACGACGCTGGAACAGGACTGCAAGTGCGAGACACTCTCTGTGCTCAAACGCTGCTTTATAACATACGCTGTACCGTTACGAAATGAGAAAAATACTTCCAAGCTTAAAGGAATTATAAAAAGTACCATTTCTGATCATTCGTATTAGCAGCATTACTTCCGGCCAATTCTTCTGCAGTGTTTATTATAACTGCTAGAACACTCCTTTTTCCTTACAAGGTATTCTCGGAACTTGTCACATAAATAATTATCATTCCTCAGTGACCGTTCTGCAACTCGGCTTTGACAGCGAGTAGAAAACAGCCGGAAGGGATGGTAAGGACGGGACTCGGGAGCTTCCAAAACCTTCTCAAAGGCACCTGGTTCCCACTTCTCTCGAACTCCCTTTAGCTACGCCAGGGTTGCTCAGTGGTTAGAGCGCAGGCCTGCAGGGGGGAGGGTCTCGGGTTCGAGTCCAGTCACGGGCACTATCTGGGTTGCAGATTCCATCCCCGCCCCTGCTGGGTGCTCCTGGAAGGCAACTAGTGTTTCTCTCACACTGATGTGTCTGTCTCTCCTTCCTCCCTCCCTTCCCTCCGCCCCCCAAAAAACCAATGGGAAAAATATCCTCTCTTTGGGGGAGGATTTAAAAAACAGACCACCTCTCTAGCAGCACAGGGATCCCCGTGTTGTCACCCAGGCCCCTCACCCTCCATCCCTCTAGTTTAGAATTTAAGCGCTTTCCCCTGAAGGCCCAGCCCCTGTGGGAGGATCCGTGTCACCCGCCCTGACGGTCTGATGGCGCCCATCGGCCTTTCCCTAGAATGTTCCATAAACACGTAACACACGGTGTTACCAAGGAAACCACCCACACTGACAGTTAGCAAAACAGCACGTTATTTCTGACATTAACTCAGGTGATAGAGCAAAACATTCTCAAGTCACGGAGACACTACCTTCTTCATCTTTAATACAGAGACTATGGAAACGCGGCTCCCTAATACTGCCGGGTGGTTGTTTTCGGGGGGCGGGGGGCGGGGGCACATTCCTAACTGAAACACTAGAATGAATCTCAGTTAGATCCTATCTTCCGGCCCAAGTCTGGGAACCTTCTGAATTCTATCCACCGACCCGAGGTGACTGAGAATCCCTGCTCTCAACACCCGGGAAGGAAAGCAAACCCCAGGGGGCCAATCATAGAACAAACAAAAGGAGTCCATCCTGAGCCACAGTGGCCGCTAAGCCCGGGCCGGTGTGGCTCAGCGGTTGAGCATCCACCCAGGAGGCCAGGGCACAGGCCCGGGTTGCGGGCCGGTCGCCAGCAGGGGGCGCGCAGGAGGCAGCCGCTCCCTGATGTTTCTCCTCATTCATGTTTCCCTCTCTCCCTTTCCCTCCCCCCCCTCTAAAACAATAATAAATAAAAACATGCACTTTTAAATTTCCCTTAAAAACTTCTTAAATGTTACACTTTCACCAGGCACTTGGGTCTGGGATACATGACCCTGTGCGCAATCCTAAAGCACATTCAAGTCTGAAAATCCGACCACGAACGTTTTCCGCCGCCCTCCTGACACCGACGGAGAGCAAGCACACAAGCAGGTACAGGCGGGCAAGGAAGGGAATCTTGTTTTTTTTTATAGACATTTTTATCGATTGCAGAGAGGGAGAGAGGGAGATAAAAAGATCCACGTTGAGAGAGATCATGGATCGGCCGCCTCCTGCGCGCCCCCTAGTGGGGATCGAGCCCCGACCCTTCGGTCCCCAGGCCGACGCTCTACCCACTGACCCACACAGGCCAGGGCGATAAGAAGGGAATTTTAAAGCGTTTTACTATTTCAGCCCACGATGAGGCCTCCCCTCTAACACTCCTTAACTGTGAAATTAAAGCGCTGTCTTACGGGGGCGGCGGGGGGGGGGGGGGTTGCCCCCAGGTTCCACGCTCCGGCCCAAAGCCCTGTCCATCAAAAGCCAATGGATAGCCCTGGCCGGTGTGGTTCAACGGGTAGAGTGCCAACCTGCAGAGGGAAGGGTCCCGGGTTGCGGGTTCGATCCCCAGTGGGGGGCGTGCAGGAGGCGGCCGATCCACCATTCTCTCTCATCACGGATGTTTCTCTCTCTCCCTTCCTCTCTATTAAAAATAAAAATAAAAAATAAAAATAAAAAACTGCCCTAGTCCTGTTTGGCTCAGTGGATACTGAAGGGCCCGGGTTCGATTCCCGCCGGGGCCACAGACCGAGTTACGGGGCTCGATCCCCAGTGTGGGGCGCGCAGGAGGCGGCCGATCCATGATGCTCCCTCATCAAGGATGTGTATCTGTCTGTCTCGCCCCCCGCCCTTTCCTCTCGGAAACCAATCAAGAAATAAAACAGCCCTGACCGGTGTGGCTCAATGGATAGAACCTCGGCCTGCGGACTGAAGGGTCCCGGGTTCGATTCCGGTCAAGGGCATGGACCTTGGTTGCGGGCACATCCCCAGTGGGGGGCGTGCAGGAGGCAGCTGACCGATGTTTCTCTCTCATCCATGTTTCTAACTCTCTCTCTCTCCCTTCCTCTCTGTGAAAAATCAATAAAATATATTTTTAAAAAAATAAATTAAATTAAATAGCCAATGAACACACACACACTCTAAGGGCCCGGCCGGTGTGGCACAGTGGTTGGTCCTCCATCCGGGCACCCACGGGAGGGTCCCCGATTGGCTCCCGCTCGGGGCACAGGCCCGGCCCCCAGCAGGGGGCGGGCAGGAGGCGGCCCCGCCGCATGTCTGTCTGTCCGTCTCTCTCCCCACCCCCCTCCTCTAAAAAAGCCAACAAAAACAGATTTCTAAAAACAAAACAAAATACACTCACGGGGGCTCCCCCATCGCTGCTCATCCGACGCCGCCGCCAGACGCCCGGCCGCCCCGTTATTTCCAAAAAGGGCGGCGCGGAGGCAGCGGGACCGGCCCCGGGCGGGAAGCGGGGGAGCTGGGCCCCGCGGGCAGCACAAAGCGGCGCCCGCCCGCCCGCCCCGGGGGGGGGGGGAGGGGGAGGGGAGGGGGGGGGGGAGGGGGGAGGGGGCGCGGGAGGCGCCGGCCGCCATCTTGCGGCGGCCATTTCGCGGCGCCGCTCTCCCGCCCGCCCCGCCGGGCCCCGCATCCCCCTCCTCCCCCCGCACCCACGTCGCCGCCCCGAGCCCCCGGCCGTTGCCCGCCCGCCCGCCGCCCGCCTCCCGCCTCCCGCCTCCGCGCCGCCATGGCGTCCGGCCCTCCCGCCGCCTGCGCCCCCGGCCGCGCCGCCGCCGCGCACACAACAGCCGCCGGGACAGGCCCCGCCGCGCCCGCGCCCCCGGGGCCCTCGGCCTCCCCCGCCCCCAACACAGCGCCCTCCCGGGCCGCGCCCCGAACCCCGCGCCGCAATGCGCCTCCGCACAAAGCGCCGCCGCCCCGCCGCCGCCGTTACCCGCCCCGCCCCGCCGCGCCGGGGCCCGCACTCACCCTCCTGGAACTTAGGCTTCGGGTCCTGCTTCGGCGCCATTTATAGGGATTCGCCGCCGCCTCCTGCGCCCACCGCCCCGACCGCCGCCCCCCGCTCGCCACCCACCCGGCTGCGCGTCACACGCCGAGCGCGGCACCAGCTCTACATCCCGGGCGCGATTTGCCGGCGCCCGAACACCTCACGGAGCCGCGAGTGCGCAGCCGCACTGCCAACTGCCCGTCCCCGCCGCCGCCGCGCACGCCGCGCACGCGCCCTGCGTCGCGCCGCGCGAGGCATGCCGGGAACTGTAGTTCCGTGGGGCCCCTCCTCATCCGCCTCCCATCCCCCACCCCCCTGATTCTGGGCGGTGTTTGGGGTGCGGGAGGGAGGAGGTTCGTGGGGGCGATCAAGAGCGGGAAAGGCACCGTGTGTGCAGGCCGCGGGCCGCCGGGACGTGGTGCGAGGCGGCTGGCGAGGGGAAGGGGCGTGGGCAGCGTGAGGGCCCCGAGGCCTGGGGGTGATCCACCATCAATCATCCCCGCTCACCGCTAGCCCACGTGGCCTGCGGGGCTCAAACCCGGGTCCCCTGGGGATGCAGGCGGGAGCTTGGCCTTGGAGCCCCTAGAGCAGGGGTGGGCAACCTTTTTGTGAGTGCGTGCCAAAACCAGCAAAATCTCTGGCTCAAAATGCTGCGTGCCAACCCTAATTTTTTCAGAGCGTGTTATGCCTACTTGATATCCCTTAAGGTGTACGTATGTGAAGAACCTTGAAGAAATAATAAAATTCACTCCAGCGACAAAAACACAGTCTATGATGATGAAAAATACATTTAGCCGAAGCCGGTTTGGCTCAGTGGATAGAGCGTCGGCCTGCGGACTGAGGGGTCCCGGGTTCGATTCCGGTCAAGGGCATGTGCCTGGGTTGCGGGCACATCCCCAGTGGGAGATTTGCAGGAGGCAGCTGATCGATGTTTCTCTCTCATCGATGTTTCTAACTATCTCTCTCCCTTCCTCTCTGTAAAAAATCAATAAAATATATTTAAAAAATATATATATTTTATTGATTTTTTACAGAGAAGAAAGGAGAGGGATAGAGAGCTAGAAACATCGATGAGAGAGAAACATCGATCAGCCGCCTCCTGCACGCCCCCAACCGGGGATATACCCGCAACCCAGGCACATGCCCTTGACCGGAATCAAACATGGGACCCCTCAGTCCGCAGGCCGACGCTCTATCCACTGAGCCAAATCGGTTTGGGCTAGGGAAGGATTTTTTAAAAATATATATTTTTGTTGATTTCAGAGCGGAAGGGCGAGGGAGAGAAACATCAACGCTGAGAGAGAATCATTGATGTCTCCTGCACGCCCCCCCACTGGGGACTGAGCCCCGCAACCCAAGCATGCGCCCTTGACCGGAATCAAACCCGGAAGACCCTTGAGTCCGCAGGCCGGTGCTCTATCCGCTGAGCCACACCAGCCAGGGCTGCACCTGATTTTACACATTACAAAAGGATTTTGTGCCGAAGGATTTCATAGGCTCAGCGCAGGTAAAGATTGGCCTTTGTCAAGGAAGACACCAGCCGGGACAGGACTCGCCGCCATGACTCGTTTTCGGTTGGAAAGTTTTAATTTCAGACCCTCCTATGGAGACACTTCCCATCTCTGAGTTGGCGAGGCCGCCATGCAGGCAGGCCTTCCCCGAGCCGGTCAGGTGTGGTCAGTTTGTTGGGCACGCGTTCACCGTTAGGGTCTCCTCCCTTCTGTGCAATTCTCTCTGTCAGCATTTTGAAGAACCCTAACTTAACTCTGGTGCCGTGTCACATAGAGAAATTTCTTGATCTTTGCAACCATCGTAAAACAAAGACTTATATGTTTGATATTTATTTTATGTATTTAAATGCCCTTTAACAAAGAAAAATCAACCAAAAAAAATGAGTTCGCGTGTCAACCAGCCAGGGCTGAAAAAGTCCCTTTCCCACCTCCGTCCCTTATCTGCCCACTCCCCCAAATAGCAGCACAAACCATTGCTTTTCCTGAGGTTTTTGAAACAAAATGAAGATACGGTGACAATTGCCTAGTGTGAGGTGCAAAAACATTAAAATGAAAAATCGCCTCGCAGTAGAACGCGGATGATATCTGTGCCCTGGGATATAATCAGGACAGAATACGGTAAACTGGCTTACACAGCACATGTGTTATCTGGGTGGCCCTGAGGAAGAATCTGTTCCATGCCCCCCCTCCTCCCCCAGCTTCTAGAAGTTTCCTGGCAATCTCCGCCCTTTCGCTTCTTGGCTGGTAAAAGCACCACCCCATCCCTGCCTTCACCTTCACAGGGCGTTCTCCTGTGTGCGTCTGTTTCCAAATTTCCCCTTTTCATAGAGACACCGGTCACCCTGGATGCAGAGCCCATTCCACTCTGGTATGGCCAGACGTCCTCAGGAATTCCGTCTGCAACAACCTTATTTCCAAATAAGGTCACAGCCCGGCCGCCAGCGTGACTCAGTGGTTGAGCTTTGACCTATGAACCAGGAGGTCACCTTCCATCCCAGGTCAGGCCACAGGCCTGGGTTGCAGGCTCCATCCCCAGTGTGGGGCGTGCATGGGGGAAGCTGATCCGTGATTCTCTCTCATCGTTGATGTTTCGATCTCTCGCTCCCTCTCCCTCCCTCTCTGAAATCAATAATATATATATGAAATCAATAAAATATTTATATCTATATCTATATCTCTATCTATCTATCTATCTCTATCTATATATCTATATCTATGTCTATATATCTATATCTATCTATATCTATCTATATCTATATCTATATCATCTGTATCTATATCTATATCTATATCTATATCTATATCTATATCTATATCTATATCTATTTAAAGCTTCTACCTCTCCTCCCATCACCTAGTGATTAAGTACCCCTCTGTAATAACAAGGGTATTTAGGGACCTTCATTGCTGATGCTGAAATTTTCTGTGTGCTCCTTCCAAAGTCTGAAATTGTGTCATGAAGTGATGATAATAATAATATATGGTCATGGCCCTGACCGGTTTGGCTCAGCGGATAGAGCGTCGGCCTGCGGACTCAAGGGTCCCAGGTTTGATTCCGGTCAAGGGCATGGACCTTGGTTGCAGGCACATCCCCAGTGGGGGGTGTGCAGGAGGCAGCTGATCGATGTTCCTCTCTCATCGATGTTTCTAACTATCCCTCTCCCTTCCTCTCTGTAAAAAATCAATAAAATATATTAAAAAATATATATAATATATGGTCATTGTGGAGGATGTCTGAGAATTGCTGGGAATGAGGGAAGAAATATAAGCCCAGCTAGTGTGGCTTAGCGATTGTCAGCCCAGGGACCAACCGGTTTGATTGCTACGGGTTTGATTCCTGGTCAGGGCACAGGCCTGGGTTGCGGGCTTGATCCCCATGGTGGGGCCTGCCAGAGGCGGCCGATCAATGACATTTCTCTCTCATCAATGTTTCTATTTTTCCATGCCTCTCCTTCCCTCTCTCTCTAAAAATCAATAAAACATTAAAAAAAGAAAGAAAAAAAAAAGAAAGAAAATATTGTCCTAACCGGTGTGGCTCAGTGGAGAGAGCATCGGCCTGCGGACTGAAGGGTCCCGGGTTCGATTCCGGTCAAGGGCATGTACCTGGGTTGCAGGCACATATCCAGTGGGGGCGTGCAGGAGGCAGCTGATCAATGTTTCTCTCTCATCGATGTTTCTAGCTCTCTATCCCTCTCTCTTCCTTCTATAAAAAATCAATAAGTTATTTATTTTTTTTTAAAAAAAGAAAATATTTAAGACAAAGAATTTGCAGAGAAAAGCAACGTTTTTGCCCTGAGAAATTGAGTTATGTTAGGAAAGTCTCATTATTTGCTTGGAAGTATGTTTGGAGACTAAAATGGCCGAAGGAGAAATTTTCCGTTTGAATAACTCATTTAGGGAAAACAAAATAAAAAAAACTCCCAAGGGTCTGTTCACAGGAGCCACCTGATTAAAATAAAAGCGAATGACTAAAACCAGTCGTCCAGAGGTTTCAAAACAGCCTGGGATAATCACTAGTCCTTCCCACAGGCAGAAAGCGCAGGCATTGCAAGGAATTTATACACAAAGTAAAAAAAATAAAATAAAGTAAAGGAATGTACAGACATGATCTTAATCTGTATCGTACACCCCGTGAGGCCCAGCTGATCTCCAAAGGAATCTTGCACGTCACATGGCGTTCAGCTGTAAACATCACATTTCCCACGTTTGCACAGGGATGACCTCAGTAATATTTACACACCCCACAATTTCATAAATGTTCCTGTCTTCTGACCTCTGGCTTCAATAGGCCACTCCCCAACCAATATTTTTGTTTGTCTGTTTTTTGTTTGTTTTTTGTTTTTCTTTAAGTAACCAATATTTTCCTACACCAGATAACCTTTGCTTATTTCTTTCTTTCTTTCTATTTATTTACTTATTTATTTGTTTGTTTGTTTGTTTATTTTAACATTTGTGTATTACTACTTATTTATTTTTATGTATTTATTTACTTACTTATTTACTTATTTTAACCTTTGCGTATTTCTTTTTCTTTTTATTTATTTTTAATCTTTGCGTATTTCTATTTATTTATTTATTATTTTTATTATTTTTTTTTTTTTAATATATTTTTACTGATTTTTTACAGAGAGGAAGGAAGAGAGATAGAGAGTCAGTCCGCAGGCCGATGCTCTACCCACTATTTATTTATTTTTTATGTATCTATTTATTTACTTACTTATTTGCTCATTTATGTATTTTAACGTTGGCGTATTTCTTGCTTTCGTTCTTTTTATTTATTTTTCCATTTATTGATTTTTTACGTATTTATTTATTTACTTACTTATTTGCTTATTTGTTTCCTTTGACCTTTGCGTATTTCTCAGATGAGCGGCTCCCTGGTTTCCTGGGTTCCCTCTTCACCAGTTCCTTCCGTCTCACTAGTTGTTGTTTTTTATGTCTTCAATTGTTGGAAAAAGGAGAAACCCCGGATGAGGTCTGAGATCGAACTGGGGAAGGAAAAGAATAAAAAATAACAAAACGAGAAAAGAAAAGCGAACCGCCCAACGTGGGGCTCGAACCCACGACCCTGGGATTAAGAGTCCCATGCTCTACCGACTGAGCTAGCCGGGCAGGTGGCATCTCCGCCCGCCTCTCGGTCCTTTCAAAGGGTCCCGACGCA